TTCATGTATGACCTCCATGCATACATATTTGCTCCTTTAAGGAGGAATATTTATCAAAACGAATGATATTTTCTATACTCATCACTTCTAATTAAATGAATTAATAATTTATTTTCACTTGTAGTAAGTTCAAGCACTTCACATTGAGCTCATGGATTCATAGGAAGGAGGGAAACACAGGAAATCTTTTCTAAATTATGGGATAAAGGTTCAGACTACGGCAATAAAAGAGAACAGTTATATCGTGAAAATGATTTTTTGCATGTATAAAATTTTCATGCTATGAAATACCGTTAGTGTTGATTACGAATGATTCATAATGAATAGAATGATTATTTCATAATGAGTCAGAATAATTCAATGAAATTGATCGGCTTTATATAGTAAGTTTATATTTGATTTGATGTTTTACGCATTAAGATAAATTTGACAAGTTAATAAAATCTCGTATTATTATTATTATTTTTTTTTTATCTGATCCACTTATTGAATTCGATCTTGACGCCGCAAGCGATGCATTTCTCGCTTCTGATACCAATAAAGCCACTCAGTGCTGATTAAAAATATATAGTTTATATATAGGAATCGCCAAGATATTGACACATAATAGAACAAACGGTAATCATTGGCAACGATTAAAATTTTTCAACACTTCGACGCATCAACTGGGAGGAGGTTACCGCGTGGATGTCACTAGCAAGCAAAGCCTGGAATTAACGCGTGGGTAACGTGTAATACTAAACCATTGTTATTCTTCATAGCTACTGCATGTATCCACCTTTGAATATAGACTATACGTGGTGGTAGGATGCCCTGAAAACTCATTATGCTAAGGCAGTTTTCAGACAATGTCGCTAAATTGAATAGCGCTCCTCCTTGAATTATTGAATTGATTGATTAGGCCTTCTTGATTTCAGAGACAAAAATAAACTAATAAGTTTAGGAATCTGGAAATAGATTAAGTTAATTGACTCGTCACTGTATCGTTGGATAACTGGATTTTTCTGAAATCATTGTATTTTTCCGAATTCATGAAGGGAAATATGACCGATTTATTTTTTCTGGGAATTGGAATGCTACATTTCGGTGGCGGATTATCATGTGCTTTGTGAAATTAGAATGGATTGGGAACTGGACAGAAATGCTTCGTTTATATCAGGACGCATTCAGTTTCCCCAAACATCACGAAGCCAGGGAGGTGACTGGGATAACCATGCATCGGTAGCCGCTACCTTGGCATTTAAAAACCCGCTGCCTCAATTTCCATCCATATAAAAAAATTTGTAATGATCAGTCAAACTATTTCCTGGTCAATGTAAACATTTTATTCTATGAAAATAAGCTTCTGCTAGTTTTTTTAGACACTCATTCTAGATTATGAAAGCTATTACGGTAGTTCATTTATTGGTTATTATATTTTCGATAACCAAGTATGCAAAAATCATATAAGAACACAAATGATCAATACTATCGAGATTTAAGATACTGGATCAGAAATTTTGCCAAATGACGTGCCAATAAATTAGTTTTCCTGTTTCACAGAATCTTTTAGAGGTCCCATTCAGTGTCGAGAAAAGAAATATAATTTGTGTGGAAATGCTAAATGTATGATAAAATTACTCGGTCTCCACCAACTTCATAATGAAGCAACAATGAAACGTAGGTTCTCTGTTTAAGAGTGTAGAAACTTCTATAATTTAGGCCCGAACCTAATTAACTGGCGGCTGATTGCTGCGAAAATTGTGAAGAGATTATTGCAAACATTTCAGCGTTGCTTCGTATAGATGGAATAACATTGAGCTGGTCGCTTAGGAAACGTATACTTATTTAGAGTTTAAAGTATTTGATTATAGCAAAGTAATCGGTTAGAAGAAATAACATTCAACTGTATCATCTAAGCACGCTGAATTAGGCAGCAGTTGAAAAAATATTATTTGAAATAATTTGTATGATATTAATTAGTCAACTCAAGTAAGGTCATGAAGACTAATACGTATTCAATTTTTTACAAGCATTGTGCGAGAGACTTTCTGTGACTGATGAAGGTCTCAGAATTTTATGAGTTCTTAATAAATTATATTTCACTATTTATTTCTTGTATGGTTCTTGTCTTTTTGACTTTTCAACTATAATTTCGGTGTTTGGTACATCTTCGGAATTTATTCAATCGTTTCAGTTAGGTATCTTCTTCAAGGTATCTTCTAATAAGTTATCGCACGAACTGATGGGTGGTAGAGTGTCAGAGTAATTGAAAAATCAATTGAATATATTTCCACTAGTTTTCACTTACAAGAAAAGTGTTATAAATTAGCGCGTATATTTGGAAAATAGTTGCAGAGAGTAAGAACTGTTCGTGGTTCTCGTATCATGAGCTGTGCTATTGTACTGTGGTGTGGGACAGTGGAGAGAAAGGATTTGTTCTATAATCACCGGGATGCCTAGGGGATCAATTTCTGTTAGTGCTGCCAATCTTTGTTAGTGACTGTTAGTTTGCCAGACTCGAGCATTCCGTACAGTTTTCTTATTTGTTTTGTTTATTATCTATTTTCAAAGGCCTCAAATTTGGAGCTTGAATATTCTACTTAATTTTCACTCTAGAGGTTTACGCACAAGATATGCTCAAATTACGGAGAAAATATCTCTGCATTTTCTTTAATTAATTTTAATAGTTTATACAACATAGTTCTTCAATATATGACAATCACTTATATTCATTACTATGGTACTCGCAAACCTGGCGGGCTAAACAATCTTTGATCGTTTTGGTTGATTGTAGCTCCGACCAAATCTATCACTACTGATGTGAGCGGTGATATGAATACGTTTCAACTGAAATAGAATTAATTAATCTCACGGCTTTAAAGTGACTATTTGATACAAAATTTCTACCATGGACACGTTATACAAGGAAGAATACAATATCAATTGGAAGGGCAGCAGGGATACCATTAAATGTATACACTATTTTGAGTCTATGGTTATACCAGGTCATGTTATGTGCAAGGCATGATGCACCACACCAGAACTCCTAGTGTATGATGCACTACACCAGAACTCCTGGTGTATGATGCACTACACCAGAACTTCCTGGTGTAGGATGCACTACACCAGAACTCCTGGTGTATGATGCACTACACCAGAACGCCTGGTGTAGGATGCACTACACCAGAACGCCTGGTGTATCACTTAACCACTACAACATCACATCAGGCACGTCTTGTAGAGGCCCGTTACTGCTGATATGTTGGCCGCCAGTGCTGCTGTTAACGGCGCTGTTGCTGAAACTGTTATTATTGACCGTAGCAATAAAGCTTTCAATAACCCCTGTTGTATCATTACTAATAACACTTCCCTGAAGATTGCCAGATGTAGTGCAGTAATTGTTAGAAGGAAGGTTTGCGGTATTATCTACAACTGTTTTAGTATAACTACCTGAACTTCCATTGAGAGATCTGGAACAATGGTCTTCATAACTAATGCTTCTATCATTATCAGGAGGAGATTCATCGTCCTGAAGTTTGTACGGAATAGGACTGCCGTCCGAGTTGTCCATGAAGGAGTTCTCGTCGTAGAGTTCCTCCCTCTCAATAACCTGCGTACGCTCTCGTATCCTGCGCCGCAGAGATGAGGTCAGTCCCTCGGCAGGCAGCAGGTGTGAGTGAGGGCACTTGTGGTCCTCGGAGCGGCACATGAAGCAGGTCTGCGTCGCTGAGTGCGGGCACTTGTGGTCCTCGGAGCGGCACACGAAGCAGGTCTGCGTCGCTGAGTGCGGGCAGTTGTAGTCCTCGGAGCGGCACACGAAGCAGGTCTGCGTCGCGGCTGTCGCGAGGTCGGCGATATCGCGGCCGCGGGGCTGCGCTACGAGCCGCTCTTGCATCTCGAACGTCGTGTAGTATGTGTCTGAGGGGCGTGAACAAATGGTATTTAGGTCGACAAACAAGTTTATTATGAGAGTAACAATTATCGAATGAAAACATGTATTATTAAGGAGAGCGTCTGCCTCAAAATCGAAAATTTTGACTTTTTCGGTTTTTGTACTCATCTTAAAGCTTACATTCTGACGCATCTAATGGTGCCAAAACCATCTCTGTACGTTGATTTATGCGTTTACGACAGAGCGCGAAAGGGTTAGGGGTGGTGGAGTTCTTCAACGTTAAATATAGGCCGAAATTACCGGTAGCACACTTAAATAGCTAGTCTGAACACGCTGTGCTTAAGTTATCCGTCTGCAGTCGTATGGGATGGTTCTCGTGCCGTCGTTCACACCATCCTTGACAGAAATTGAGCTCCAGTATCGTCTAGTCTAGCAACCTTGCACCCTTGAATGTCTTTTTCGAGGCGCGCGCGACTTTGTCGGGCTCTACTGAAAAGTTAACTTATTGTAACTGCAAACCTATCTCCTCCTAGAGTTTTGAAGCTACAACAATGAGAGATATACCGTTCGATTCGTAAAGAAAAGATCTACAACTGATGTGGAGCTTTTTTTCCAAGTTCGTTATAGTTGGGATTTTATTTTGCAAAAAGGGGGGCGGGGGAGGGGTGAAATTGTAAAATTTCGAAAGAGTTCGGAAAAAATGCTCCCACACTCACAAAAATGAGAAATTCGAAAAAACCCTCTACATCAGTTGTAGATATGGTCTTTACGCATCGAATGATCTGTGTCTCGATGTTGTAGCTTGGAAATCCTAGGAGGAGATAGATTTCTATAGTACCCCCTTTTGTCAGTTTTCTATGAATTTCACGTTTTCTTTCAATTTTTCGAAAAATTCACACGAACAAAAAAAACAGAATTCCGTGTTACATACGTGTACCAAATTTTGAATCGATCCGTCTGTTGATATCCCAGATATTTTTTGGGGCAGACGCTCCCCTTAATTGGAAACTATTCGCTGAAAGAACTAGCAAGGTCGCTGAAACGCTGAAAGGTCGACAAATAAATTTATTATGAAGGTGATAAGTATCGAAGGAAAACATCATAAACATATATTATTGAGTGAAACCTATTCGCTGAAGGAACTAGCAAGGTCGCTGAAACGCTGGAAGGTCGAAAAATAAGTTTATTATTAAAGAAACAATTATCGATGGTAAACATGTATTATTGAGTAAAAACTATTCCTTGAAAGAGGTGCCAGCTTTTTGACGAGAGAGAAATAAAAAAATATAACTCAGTACTCACAGCAGTGAGTGACAGAAAGCGCGTTTTCTGGTCGACGAAAACGTGAAGTCACGGCGGACAGACCGACAGACGGACTGACAGACGGACGGACAGACGGACGCATGGACATGACGAACGAGCATTATATAGCGCCTTTTTTCCATAAATGAGGAAATGCGCTAAACAGTGTTATGGAACTTGTGTGTTTGTTAAACTTGTGTGTGTGGCTCAAGTATAAGAAGTATAAGAAATCATGATATATTTTTAGCGCTTGCTCCATTACATGGAGTTTCTGTTATTTTTTTCATTCGCCGACACGCAACGGCCGTGCTAACCTCTAAACTGAACTCAATTTTTAAAACGATAAATGTATCAGTAAAAAAATAGACGATTAATGGAAAAATACCCTCCTGCTCTGTTGAATTCTGCTTTAAAAAAGAAGGATCGGAGTTAAATAACAATATTGCGTGCGTTGCGTTTTGGTTATTATTTTTGATGACCAAAAATAAAAAGGTGTATTTTTTAAGCTCCTAACTGCATGAAGTCCAAAAGCTGCGAATCGAATTTCGTCTTTTCAAATACCGGAATATCTTTTGCATATTCTACTAACGACGAAAAAACCAACGCTGGAAGGGGTTCGTTTTTAGAAAAATCTCTTTTGCATCCTCTTCTCTGCTGCCGTTGATATTCTGCCTTACACGTCGCAGCATATTGCAGCTTTTACCAAGTCCAACTGAATGTATGAAATTTGTATTTTGGCTACCACGCAGCTAAGAAAGATATTTTGAAATTATTTACTGATGAACCAAAAGGCAATGTTAAGTTAATAATGAACTTGAATGTATACAGTAAACCAGAAGCCCATAGCTGATTCTCAAATAGTTCGCGTCTACACAATTGCTCTACTAATAAAGAATATGCACATACATTCTTATTATAATTATTAATCTCATCGCACAAATTTCTATGTACAAGAAACTGTCATTCGCATTGATCGCAAGTGTGAAGTTATATAGAAGATTTTTCAAACACTAGGCCCGCCCACAAAGTTGGCTGCAGCTCACTTTAAAAGAAGGTGGCCTTTGTGGCCTTGTGATCATGATTGAAACTTCATCCTGGTGTTTTGACGGAAAAAAACAGCGACCGATGACATCCTGCATAGCATTAAATGAATTTGAGAACACCTAGCGTTCAACGTTAGGCAATCTTCGTGGCGACATAAATTCGGGCGACTAAACTGAAAGAAGCGGCACTCGTCCTCCGTAAATTTCCCACGTGTCTCAGCCTAAAGAACGGCCTGCAGGAAACAGTCTTCAACTTCTCCTTGCTTGTCTTCACTGAATAATTTATGGTCTCAGGTATCCAGTCTACGCACCAGTTACAAGGGAAGCCGTGAATGAATGTGTAAGGCCAGCTGAGCTCCTATTGAAAATGTTGTGTCCTTTAACTCATGCATTGAGAGTAGTTTCATTAAATCTATAATTGTCTTTCAATTTAATGAGCACAGCGATCAGTATTGGGAATTAAATTCACTACTTTTCGCACTAAAGTGAATGGAACTTAAGATAAATGGAGGATTTGAGATTTGAAATATTGAATAAATTAATAATTTTGAGAATTTATTGTACGACTGAAGTTCAACGGTCTTTAATTTAACAATAATTCGTTATCTGATTTGTGTAACAAATCAACAACTCTTTTTCATTTTAACGCTATAAGTGTAGAGAAAAAATTACATGTGTGACGGTATGAATATTGTGATATTTTTTTATTTTTAGGAGTACCCTTTTTGAGCACGTGTTATGTTGATAATGTGATTGCATATATTTTTTGGGATCTCGTTACTGTGATATTATTTTATATGACTAAGGAATGTTTGAGCATATTTTTGTTTCGTGACAGTAATATGGAATCGCCTCTAGCTGTGGTGTTCGTAGGATTCAGTTAGTGTCTTTGGACGAGACAAGGTGTAGCTCCAACGTGATTGGTTGAGCCGCTCCTGACCTCGTTATAACGCGCGCTAGGTAGTCGTGAACAATGGAGAGTTTGGTCTCTTTGGAATTAGTTTAAGATTTATTCGCTTTAATGTGCCATTATTTTGTCGAAGGACTTTAGCTTTTGCGATAATCGTAATGATTTACAGTTGTACTGTACTAAGTTAAGTGCTGTTAATACCAATAGACGATACAATCCTTAATTAAAGATGCTACGTCGCCATCTTGCGTAAGGAAGCTAGACATCTTAGAGGTAGATGTATTATAAGAAGTCGATTATAACTTATAGTCGTGTCGTCCAAATGTTAAACTCTTTATTAATATGATTTTATTAGGTGATAGTACTTCTCATTATATTTGATAATGCTTAGTCAATATTCATTGGTCTAGTCTATTGACGAACTGGTATCAACTCAGGTGCTCGCGAGTAATTATCCTCGAGTTATTCTATCTTAAATAAACTTTCACTTATCATTATGTGACCAAAAGATTATATTATGATTCTATTTTGTTGTAATATACTATGTTGTCTATATCTTTGCATATAGACGAATTTAGTAGCCCGTTTCTTTTACATTGTAAACGGGGGTGTTGAGGTAAGCTCATTTTGGCTGAGTTACCCCCTCGTTGTGTGCGCTCGGAAGTTGTGTGTGCTCAGTGGTGCTGGGTTGGGGTGACACGGTTTCGACTCGAATCAGGCAGAGCCAAATTTGGGCTTCCAAGAATAAACTCCACCGCAGTTCTGGGCATAACTCTTAATGAGTTCCTCTAACGGACTAATAACGGCGTAGGTGGAGTTCTTGGATAGTTCCAGGTTTTGGCTGCGTTGGGCGGTTAACAGCCGTTCAAATCGCACCCTCGAGGTAGAGGCTAATAACCTCTGCGCTCGAGTTAATTGTCAGCGGCGTATTGGGGGCTAATACCCTCCAATAGTCATGCTTTTGAGACGTAACTGCCACCCCGTTCCTGTGTGGTTGTTAGCATCTCGGTGCGGTTAGTTCCCGTGCCATTTGCTGTTCATCTCCGTGTTCTTGGCAGTGTATTAGGGCTAGAACCCCTAGTCTCTGCGGCTGGTCGTTGGCATCTTGGTGCGGTTAGTTCCCGTACCATTTGCTGTACGTTTTTNGCATTTTTCGGGAAATTATTCGTAATATCTAGGTATCCTTGAGCTGACCAAGTTGTCGTTGCTGGTGGAGTAGTAGATGGGCAGGAATGCTATCCACAGCACACACGTCGTGTACATCGTGAAGCCGATGTATTTGCTCTCGTTGAAAGACTCGGGGATCTTGCGCGTCTTCCAGGCATAGATCGTGCAGATCAAGATGATGGCTGCGTGGCAAAATTGTGTTCATTTATCCACCTTCTTTATTACAGTCGAGAAAATGTTAAAGTCTGTGAAAGAATGTGGAACATGTTTGGGCATTTGGAACCATGTTTATAATAAATAGAGTAGCTATCAAAGCACGTTCTTCCAATACATATGGTGCAGGAATATCATCTTAAAATTGATTCTTATTTCTATTAGCAAAATCAGGTGATCTCAGAAAAAAAGTCTACTAAAAGGAAAAATTTATCTGGAATGTATTTTGCCTAAATTTTTAAGGAATAAGAAAATAATAATGCCTTTTTAATTTTTCAAAAAGAATAAAATTGCAGGTCTTTCTTGAATATAGATTTGAGTCCACTTTTCTTTAATTCAAAATACATGAGATTGAAAACTATTATGGTGGCATGGAAAACGATTCTAAAACATCAACATCCGGTTTATTTACGGAGAACGAAATCTATTGTGCCAAAGTCAGCTTTATTGCGCAAAATAAAACATAAGTGAGATTGGCGTGACTATAAAAAATGTATCAGTACTCACTGCAGTGAGTGACAGAGAGCGCATTTTCTCCTTGCCGAGTATCATGGATACTCGGCAACGTGAAGTCACAGACAGACAGACGGACGGACCGACGGACGGACATGACGAGCACAATTGCGCCTTTTTTCACATATGAGAAAATGCGCTAAAAATATTTGATGTTCTAAGATATCTTTTATTCCTGAAAGAGTTTATCTCCCCAAATATTTACCCAAGTCTTCAAGTTTAACAATTATTATGATTAAGAATCTTTTGGAAGTTGGACAAAATTTTGTCCAAACCGAAAAACCGTAAAACCTACCAGGAAAAATGTTTACTTTCTCAAATATTTTAATAAGTTTTCAACTCTAGTTTTGTGAATGAATTGTGCGAAATGTGAACGAATTGTCAATCACATTTCAATGGCCAAAAAATAGGATTTGTCAGCCTTGGAAACATTTTATATCTATTCAATTGCCTGCTTCGCAACTTTCTTCTTCATCATCAGTAATCAAGAAAACCTCATTTAAAGCTTGTAAACTAATTGCGTAAAAGACAAATTCAAAGAAAATACATACAAATTTCAGTTGATTGTAGAAAGAGTTAATAAACTTTTTAATTTTTGTCGTTTCAAGGGAAAGCGATGAGATTACATAAAACAACGAGCCTTCTAATCTTGTCAAGCGTGCACAGCCCCGTCTGACAACATCATCACAACACTTGGTTGCAACAAGGCAGCGTATAACGTCACTTTATGCGCGATTATGTCAGGTAAAAATTGCATGTTAAACTCGAATTTGCAGCGTCGAAAGCTATCAGAGGAGCAATCTGCGTCTTCGGCGCCCGGCGGCTCCACTAAACACTTCATTCGAATCTTAAGGGACTTTTTTTACCCGGTGAATATTTTTGTGTGAAAAGAATGGAATGCATTAATTTTCCAGCTTGCATGTGGCAATTATATCGTTATTGAATTCCTACAATGAGATCAATTTGACACAAGTTTGATTACACTTTCACATGGCATCACTATTATTAACGTGCAATAAACTGGTCATTTTTTATATTATGCCACACAAATCTACTCTCTAAAATATTACCCTCAAACAAACTTCTTTACTGAATCTGCATTTGATTAAATTTGCAACAAATTTTCAGTTATATACTACATACAGGTTTTATTTTGTGGCGAACGATTCAGGGATATGGATACTCGGTTAGTACTTCTAACCTAATAACTAATTCATGAATCTTAATCATATACCTTCACATCTACTGATTTAATATAAGCAAAAAGACTTTCTTGTTGAAAAATGATAGTTATTTTGGCTGCGTGATTTAGGTGTTATTGGAAATTCAGGCAACCTTTTTATCGTTATTATCAGTAAAAAAATAAAAACGGGAGGAGTGAGCATTTCATGGATGAAATAACTGCTCAATATTATGGAAGCAATTGTATACAAAAGAATAATAAAAAATCTTCTCACCGGTTAGGTCGATTCATTTTTCAAATTAAATTTCAGCTTATAACTCCTTTAGGAAAGCTCATCTATCCTGCCAGTTCTTGTAGGGTCTCAGGACTCACAATAAATGGTCTCATGAATACCTGAGTCTGGCCGGACTTGCCTGCACTGCGAAAACATTGTCTAGAAAATTGATTTCCTCGTTAACAAGCGTCACTCAAAAGGATTCCATTTTAAAATGAACGATGACCTGCGCTCTTGTCAGCACTTCAATGGCTGTAGTTTAAAAAGATTCGCGAAACAATTTCCATTGTTCTTGCGATCTTTGCTCTCTCGCTCTCTAGTTTCAAGGGATTGGTCCATGCTTGTTAGAGAACTTTGGCGATTACTGATTGTAGAAAAATGAATCGCTTGATTTGAGACAGGAGAATGGGGTAAGTTAGCTTCATGACTCTTATGATGTTCATCTTGTTCATTAAGGCCCCCAGTTCATCAATAGTTTGCACCGGACGATTTTGAGTTAAAGAACTGATGCTCCGGAGAGTGATCATATCTTTGTAAATTATTTTCCATAACACAGTGTTAAAAATATTCAATTTACAGCATAAGACGAGATGTTGATGGTGAAACATTCCTACGTTTTACGATGTTTGCGAGACGAAGCGACCTACATTTGATGTTTCCCCGTATGGGTTATATTTATTTTTCGTTTAATTGTCTTCTGCTTTCCTTATTTGCCATTTTGAATTAAAGTGCAAAAAAATTATTAATTTACAAATTCATGCTAAAATAGCTTCTCTGTGCTTCAATTCAGGAACCGCAACTTTAATACTGAAATGTTAACATAGCATTTTGTGTTCCCGGTAATGAGGTTTGATGAACATGCGAATTAACATATTTTCAACGATGAAATTTGTACAATTAGTTCTATTAAAGGATGTGTGCAAAACGGGATGAATTAAAAAATTATGTATCAACTATTTTTCTGAATAATTACGAATAAACTAGTTTGTATAGCTAGCTTGAAAAATTAAGAATTAATCTTGAAAGTAGGGAACATAATTTTCATGCTTACACATAGGGAAAGCGAATGCGATGAGGTACGAGACGTTGACGCTGCCGCTGCACACGAGAAAGTTTTCGTCGCGGCTGACGCCGAAGTGTACGGCTGCTGGGTAGTTCAGGAGACTCCAGATTGTGATGATGAAAATCTGCAGTGCACGACATTTAAATTTACTTGAAATTTAAAAGCGAAGAAAACTCCACAAAAATTCAACATTTCTCTATTGAAAACGTTTTGGAGACCAGCTCCATCGTCAGTTCGATAAATCTAGAACACAAATACAGTCAGAAAATTAATAAAGTTTGGAGTCATAAGAAAAAAAACAAAAACAACAGAAGTTAAAACCTAAATTTACCGGCAAAGGGCAGAATAACAAAGAAATGCCTATCTATTCACAATTTCTAATGGATAAGAACTGTAGGCAGCATTTAAACTAGGCTTCTCTTTAAAAATATACAATGATTCCAAAATGCGCAGATCGGAAGTACCAGAACTATAAGTTAAAATCTTAAAGTCAGTGTCGGACACCGGAACGTTGCACTGTTCGGCGTGAGTGCGCACAGCCGAATGAGGAGGGCGCGATAGTAACTGCCCAGTCCTATAACTCCTCCCTTGATGCTCAGCGACCCTATTGTAAAGGTTGCGTGCCGTCATTCCGACGTACGCAGATGCACATCGTGCGCAACTAAATTTATAAACTAGGGACGATCGCATGTGAGAAGGGAGGATATCTTTGTACCTAAAAAACGAACCTATTTTGAAATTGTTAACCAGTAAGTAACGAAGATTAATGTCCGGAAAGTATTTCATAAACAAATTTTTTAATTCTCTTGACATAACTTCGGACGCATGGCCGAAGTATGGAAAAGAACAGTAAACCACCTTTCTACTATCAGGCTCTGGAACAACTTCACTGTATCGCTTAGACATGAATTCTTAATCTGGGTAAACACCAGGCCAGAAGGAAATCCATTAAGCGAGAAACGTTGCGCAAAAATTCAAATTCAGAATGCATGGCATGTGAATCTGCGTGTAAATTTCTAGTGAATCTGCGATTCAAGCAATCTAGTGACATTATTACTTAAATTTACTTTCACCAGACACCGTGAAACGGTTCACGCATAGGCATTGTTTAGTGTACCACAACTTTACGTCTCAGTATAACAGGATTTGACTTAAGTTTTCCCACATCTTGATAAAATTTTCCGGATAAATATTGTCACCTGACAGACGACCATGGCGGCGCAGATGCACAGCTGCGAGGTTGGCGAGATAAATGAAGGCCTCTTGGTCGTCTTTTTGCAGCTGTTGAATATCCGAGCTATTCGGTTCGTTTTTGTGAGGATGGCCGAATAAATCATCGTGAAGCACAACCCCAGGCCTAATCTTTGTGCTCCACAAACAACGGCCGTTGGCTGAAAACAAAATACAAACATTCATGGGATGATGCAGGCAAGAGAGAAGCGGTCAATGTGCTGCATTTCTCACTCCCCATTGAAACACAATTCTTTCCTGAATAATTTGAGATTTTTCCGTTCTTTAATTACGAGCTCATCAGTTTCGCTGGAGTCTCTTTTTTAGAATTCGAGTACTAAAGAGTGAGTTGAGTTAAATCAGTAAACTCGTAAAGCACATTTAAGCTTTAAACTCATGCCAATATTTTAGGATTTCTTTATATCATGTTTAGAGTAATCTTGTTCAATGCTGCCATAAAAAAACTTATTACAATAAAAATTGAACGAAAAAACTACCAACGGAAACAACAAATTCCTTGCAATACGCAACAGAACCGCAAAAATCTGACAAGATAATCACTTCAAAAGTTAAAATGTGAACAAATTAAGATATTCTTCAAGTAATGAGAAATTCACTAATCAAATATTCTCATCATCAAATGAACAAAGTGAGCCTGGAAATACGACATAGTTGCACGGTTTAACCCCATCTTTATTTTAAGGCATGTATTCAGAAATACAAGGCGTCAGAACAACTATATGAAAATAAAAAACAGCTGAAATGAAAAATAATAATAATAATAGCGGTTTCAGCGTTTATTAGGCCGTAGGCCTGTCGCCGATTCTTAACTTCGCAGAACATTCACAGCATTTTGAGGTCTCGAACTCGCAACGCACTGCTACAATTCTGCTGTGCCTTAACCGCCCGGCCTCCTTGCCGATTCTGACCAGAAACTGGCGCACTGAGCTGGGATCGAACCCGCGCCTCTCTAGTGCGTCAATCTTGGTACTCTTAACTCTGACCACTGGGCCACCCTGCCCAGTTAGATACTAAATAACTTATTTAACAATAATAACAAGAAATAATAATGATATCGTAATAAATTATCTAAGCCTAAGCATATTTGTGCTCACCTTGAGCACGAAAACAAATGTCATGCAGTACGCGAGGAAGACGCCAGATAAGAGCACATATGAGAGCTCGCGGCCGCTCGCCTTGACTACGGGCGTGTTGTTGTGGCTCACGAACACCCACGCTACCAGCGCCGTGGCCACCACGCCTGCCGACGCGAACAGCATCGGCAAGATGGCGTTCCAAGAACTCAGTGTGATGTATACCTGAGGGAAAATAATAATGTGGGTAATTGTATCAATGGAATGCACCCACGCTACCAGCGTCGTGGCCACCACGCCTGCCGACGCGAACAGCATCGGCAGGATGGCGTTCCAAGAACTCAGTGTGATGTATACCTCAGGGAAAATAATAGTATGGGTAATTGCAGAAATTGTACAAGAACTCAGTGTGATGTATACCTGAGGCATAATAATAATAATCTGGGTAACTGCAGAAATTTTACAATAACTCATTGTGATGTATACCTGAGGCATAATAATAATAATCTGGGTAATTGCAGAAATTGTATACCTCAGGGAAAATAATAATATGGGTAGTTGTATGAATGGAATGTTATTCCAGGTTTTACTGTGATTCTATGAATGACAAAAAAAATAGAAACGGATGAGCCGAAAAAGAATTTGACAGTCTCGGGACGATAAATGGTAGTTAAATCAATAGTATTTTTGTTTGATCAATTGAAGGGCTTTACAGCGCTGACAAACTTCAAAGACGCAATTTCTAAATGAAGATATTCCCTCACCTACAGATCGAACCTAAAAATTTTCAGTGCTCATATTTTGCTATTTACGGCATTAATAACCATATTCCTACCAGTAATAAAAGAAATAAAAAAATTTTCACCGACTTTCATTTCGATTACTGTTCTTTGTTTTCAATTACTGTCCTCGCAGTCACAAGAACGGATTACGATCATATGTCTTGCAAAAATCTTTTCGGAAAAATTATGGTGGAAATGATAAGTAATTGAAAAACACGGAATTTATGAAAAAGACTGAAAGTTCAATGAGAAGTTTCTCATAACAAACTCATGTAATCTGAACAAATAATTGAAATAAGTGATCACGACAGTGCAGTTTCAAGTTCTGAACGCAAATTAGGTAGACTGAAAAGCTTATTTCAAATATTGTACCAGAACGAAGTGATTTATAACCGAATTAGAGAAAAATAGTCATGATGAAATGATCCACTTCTTGTACATGACTGGGGATAGCTCGAGTCATCACATCTCATTCTTAGTACGAAACAGAACTTATTTTTTATCTATTTTCTTCAAAATGACTCAAACATTTGAAAGCAACTCAGTGAGCTACACGAAACTTATTAGAAGTACTTCATGTACTTAGCACAACAAACTTTCAAACTTCCAACGTCAAATTTTAATCCAATGACAACACAATAAAATCATTTGAGGTGGCATCAAATAGGAAAGAGAAGGGCAAAATGCGAAAAGTATTAATTTTGATTCCTCTCCTAGGTGCTTACGAATTTTACGTATAGTATTAACACGAATTGATATTCCTTAATGAGTTTCCGCATGGGTTTCCAGTTTTTGATCTCAAAAATTACGAGATTCCGACTGCGAATGATATACACGGGACACGAACATGATTTAAGTTTTTTACGCATATATGAAATTAAGAACAAGGTATAGGAAATTGATAAAAATAAGAGCTTATTGCACGTATATATTGTTGGTTGATTTGTTAAAAAAAATGTTGTTAATAATACTGAACAAATAGGGCTGATAAGATAATACTGATCGAATAGTATAGATCTACAATTGTATTGTAGATCTACCAATATTGATAAAATAATACTGATGATATAATGATCTTGAAAACGTTTCAAAGTCCAGCTCCATCATCAGATCGACAATCTAAAAATGAATACAATCATATTATAATTATAAATTCTAAGTCAGACATTAAAACCCCAAAAGACATCAAAGGTTAATTAAAGTTTCGATTCAAGGTTGTTTTGTGTTTCAGGTCTTTTTAGGCTTTATGTCTGACTTAGAATTTTGACTTTTAAAACGATTGTATTCATTTTTATATTGTTGAACTGATGATGGAGCTGGACTTCAAAACGTTTTCAATATCGATATGGTGAATTTTCTTGGTGTTTTCTTTGCTTTTAAATTCTTTGTGAACTTGCGATATAAGCAGACTGATAAAATAAGTTCTGATCAGATAATATAGAACAAATAAAATATCGAATAAAACTGAACCCTCGCTGCCAAAAGGTGTATATGGTAGACTAGGCATCAATTAGGATTATGTAATAATTATCTGGATGAAGTGAAAATTAAGAATGTAACAACAATTTGCCTGACGGAAAAGTTTCGACTATAACAACTTAGCGACCGACTGATAGCTCTGTAACGCAGTTTCATCGTCAGTAAACGAAATTGCGAAAAAATATAATCCACCCGGAAAAAACGACTTCAATAAATAAATACAGACTTTTTCTTGTTATTAAGATTTTAAATTACATTCGAGTCTAAAGGTTCAACCACTGATTATTCACAATTCAACAATTAATGTTGAATTTGCGGTTTGATATTCATTTCATTCCATAATGAACTCTAGGGATTGCTTGAATTTCTCAGTAAGCATACACAAAACCAACGCGCACGAATACACATGCAGGTGCAGCAGCACTGCGTTATATCCAAGCTGAATGTTCGTCATTTTAACGCCATTAATTGCCGCACATCGAGCTCAATATTTCAATCTGAGAGCGCTGGTAATGATGAGAAATGTTCAATATACCCGCAAAAATTCCAAATTACCGGGGAGGGGGGGGCGTATATGTTCTAGCCGCTGTCCTGGCCTCGAATGACGGAATGTCTACTGTACTGCTCGGACGATCTCGTATATTTGCTTTAATGAATTCGACTTCTTAACACTTAGACTCCAATTGCTTCAACTTATACTATTATTTCATTTTTTGTACTGTTTTTAAACAGGGTTGCCAGACGGTCATTTTTTTCCGGACAAACTCCGTGATTTAGTTTTTCTCAATTATGTTTTCCGGCTAAAATTTATTATATGGGTACTTCCTAATTAAGTTTTAAATACTGTAAAAAGAAAATAAATGGAATTTTTTTAGCGGAACCTACAAATAAACTAGTATATATTGAGTTATCGGCCTTTTTTGGCCTTTTTTGTTCTCGGATTTGGCCGATTTTAGGCAACCTGAATTATGTATCACTACGTCCTGGAGAAACACATTTCTTGGTACGCATATGTACCACTTTGGAGTCAACGTGTTAAACAACCTTAATGAAATATTTCAAGTTGAATTTCTGGCAAACTCTAGATGTGTGTAAATTATTTTTCATTACGTCGTAAGATCAACTGCACACTAATAAAAAATTTTTTCATGTTCACTAAAATTTTATTTCGGTCTTGATGGGGCAAAACAATCCATATAAAAGAAATTAACTGAAAACAGTTTCTCGAAATGTTATCCAGTGCAATACTACTGTCATCCAGTGTAATATTACTATTTTATCCAGATGTTTTTAGTATTTGGAAACTCGACGCATAAATTCACAATAGGAAACTTCTCATCGTAGAAATGTTTCGAAGCGATTAAGTGTTTTTTTTTTTTTGCCTAAAGAAAGAAATATGGAACTATAATTTGTGAGTCACTTGTCTACTCCTTAAGAAAAATTTGAAGTTGTCAATTTATACGAACTAAGTATAACAAATATGTAAATAAAATAAGAATTCAGCCAGTTAACAGTTAATTGGCGTAATATTGGAACTCATAATCCTTTTTTTCCGAAAAATTCGTTATGTATAAAGCCTTCTGCATAAATATTAAACTTCTGGTGTCAGGGCGGGAATACATTCATTATTCTGTGTCAAGTTGCGTGTTTCAAATAAATATTTCAGTATTACAGGGCTCATGATCCATCACCTGACAGGCAGTGGCTTGCCGGGACTCTGGTCTACCGGCAGAACTAAATGAAATTTCCAGGAAATTGTCCGTTACGATGGACAATTTCCATCGTAATGGACAGAGGACAGTGGCGCGGAATAAACAATATGTCCATCGAGGCGGCGGACACTCACCATTTGTCCCTCCTGATATCGACGCCATCTTTTTCTCGACAAATTTGGCATGACATTAATTATTCACTTACCTTCGCTTCCTTATGAGTGAAGGGATTCAGAATGACTTAAAATATAATTAACGGATTTATTTTGTGCATCACGTCAAAAAAGCCAATTGAATTTCAAATAATTAAACATTAAATGTTTTATGATAAATTATTTAATTAAACGTTCAATATTTTATAAGAAATTACTTAATTAAATATTCAATATTTTATTATCAAGCCATCGCTTAATTACTATTTTATGACATGTACAGTTAAGAACGATAATGAAAAGAACTGAACGCTCCAATCGTACATTGAAATTGAAATGAAACTGTACAAGAATTTTATTTCGTTCAATTCGTCGCAAAGGACGTCAGATACTTTGAATCAAATACACAAAATTCAAGTCATAATCGAATGAAGATGTTTGTTTACTAAGGCGGTCAGCATCATCTGTGTGATCTTGTGAGACCGGCAATCGCAGCCAACAAATGACGTCAACCAAAAAACTTTGAATGGCGTGACAGAAGGCACCAGAGCCCATACTTTAGACCTGCTTTAACGAGAAAATTCTTTGTCATTGAGGGACGGATGGAACAATTTGTACGTATTCTCCGTTCGTCACTCTTATATGCTGATTTTCAGCTAAGTTTGTTTAACTCGAAATCAATCATATCAATGTGGAATTGATACATTTCGCCAATTTGTAATTAGCAAAAAATAATACAACGTTTATTACTAAAGAAATCTGGTAGAAATATATTATCTGGTACTTTAGAAATTTGCAGGCGAAATTTTTCGATGCCTTCTAATGTCGAACAGTAAAATGGTCCATGGTTTTATCTGTTGGAAAATGATTTCTTTTGTATATAAAACTACTCGAAAATAATCCATTAACTGAAACTCAACCTCTTCAAAGGTCTAAAATATTTTTGTGCTCATACAGTTTCATCAGATGTATTTTTCGCAAATGATTTAGCAATTCATTTTTTGGTTAAAAGACGTTCTGAATAAATTTAATTGGTTGCCGCAGCATCAACCAAAACTCCATGTCTCATGTGAAACAACCTAACATTTGCGCAATTTTTGTGTACATTTCTCACCTGAAAATTTTCGTTTTTTTTTGGTTGATGCGAAGGCCAACTAAAATGTAGATCTCTTCAGTCCTCAATCACCAGCAAGTCTTCAAATGCTCAAAGTTCAAAAAAGGTTCAGAAAACAGAACTGATCATGTAAAGCTTTGATATCGAGTTGATTTTGGCTCAGAAAATGTTCCTTTGAGAATAGGTGTCAGTCCTGCTTCCAGTCTCACGTCATTGTCAAATAATATGTACGTTCATATTTATAAAAGATTATGTATTAGTGCTTTGCAAGCAAGCCTGCGAAATTGAGAATTCAGCATGAGTGGAGCGTAAAATATCTGCTGAAATGTGGCAGAAAAGAATGATAGATATGATAGAACAAGAAAAATTCTATGTATCACAATCTTCGATTGAAAAGTAAAATGAATTTGCCTGCTATACATTTTTTCGGAGAGTATTTCGACTCCGAAGTTGGTAACGAGTCGGAATTGAGTTGAACTAGGGGTGTGTCTTGCAACATTTACACAAAATACACATGTATATTATTTTTCAAATAATGGATGCAAATGTTTTTTGTTTATATTTTATGCTATTTCAGAGCCAACGGTATTCCATTATAAGTTTTATTTCCTTTCTCAATCATAACTGTAACGTTAATGTTCGTAAACTAATTTCAAATCTGTTCCATTAAATTAGGTCCTAAAATAATTCCAATATGCTAATCGTGTTTAATATTCTTTTTTCAAGAGCATAAACGTGAAAAAATCACTCCTGGAACGCAGCGCAACAATTCAATTACTTCTCATTTGATTCCGACGCACCAAAAAATTGTCGTCCCACTCCGAATGCCCAGTGGTCTGTTTACACGAACTCCATGGCGCAATAATGAAACTGATTTGTAATTCAAAGTTTATTCAATTTCCCCGTCGCAGAATTGATGAAGAGTTTGCTATCAAAGCCTCGCGTTTTTTCTTTCGAGAAGTCCAAATTAATGATACGCGCTCCGAATCATAAGATAACTCAATTGATATAACATTAGTCGTACTAAACGGGGATAATATTGATACAGAAATTTTAATTTCATATCGTGCACTGATAATAACACTGAAGTGATTAGAACATTTATCAACAAGGTGGCTGACCGAACAGCTAAAGGCTTCACTAACTTGCTTTTGAATGACTGTTACATTAAACTTATCCATTTTTTTGAAGTTATCCCTTTTTGCCTGACTTCATGAGGCGTCGCGAGAACTGAACTCAAACGTTTGAAACGGTAAATATTATAAGGTAATGAGTCTTTTTGTAAACAATTTTAGCTCACAGTACTGAGGTTATTTGAACATTTGAGGTTTCTTCATGTATTATGGAAAAAGCAAAACAAAATTTATTTTACGTTCAACTCGATGTAAATTTCTGTTGAATTAGAAATTAAAACGTTCATTTGATGTAACTGTAGTTTTTTAAATATCCTTCGAGTCTCTTCTTCTCCTCTGAAATTTAAATTTTCAACACCAGGATAATCTCCGTAAATTATGAGGACCACAGGCTTACCTCCGGGATGTGCACGCACTGCGTCTGGTCGGCCGAGGGCAGCTGGAACTGAGGGCAGGTGTCACAGCGATCGTCAACCACAATCTGGTGGGCAGACAATCAAGCAATTGCAATCTATAAATCAAGCAATCATGCAATCAAGTAATTGCTAATAATAAAGACAGCAAATCTAGCAATCACCTAATCTATATATGAAACAAGCAATTCACACAATCAAGTAATTACAAAGTTAGCACATTAAGTAATGGCACAGTGAAGCTTCATTGAACGTTCCATATCATTCAAACCGTAATAAAAATACTATACGGAGTGATCGCCTGTACAAAGTTAAGCTTTTTAAAGCAATCAACAGCAGGAATATAATAATCTTGGCCCTAGCCGCCATAGCATCAAAATAAGCAGTTACTGCAGAAGCCTTAACCAATTAACTCATCAATTTATTTTTGAATCGAATTAACCAGAATTATGAAATATTATTTGAATTAATAAACTATTTACTTCCTGGATTATGAATAAAATCTCTGTGGTCTATGTTTTTTTTCATTTAGACGTGAATAATTTTCAATGAAATGAATATTTTCAATAACTATTGAGCAGTAAAATGTTATGAATTACTCAGCTACAAACAATAACGGTGGGAAAATTTTCTTGCTTTAAAATGCTAGGTAAAATTAAACTAATATTTTTATTCAAGATTAAACTTTAGCTCAATTTTTTTCTCTGGCTTCAAATTAAATTCACAAGATTAAGTTAAACATTGCGATAATTGAAGAGAAAAATGTGTGCCTGCCTCGCTCAATTATTCATGTCTAAATTTGCGGTGGAATTTAATGAGATTATCGTGCAGTTTTGACGCGATTATGAAGTCTAACTTAATTAGCTCGCACGGCCACTAATGATTTCGTTGATTGGAGTTAATGAGTTTCGGAACAGAAATACTTCATTTAGGAAATTGTAATAGGTAACTGATTAAATTTTAAAGCTCTCTAGAAAATTGTATCTTTGGTGAATCTGTTCTATCATTTTTCTCTTTCTCTTCAATATAATTCAATATCAATTGAACGCTCGCAAAACAGTTACAATAATGGGAAAATCTTACATCAATGATGAAAATTTTGTTTTTGCTACATGATGATGTATCAAAAACATGATACAATGCATGCATCATATATATCGTTAAAAATTCGCCCCATTGAAATAGAAATTCAAAACTTTATTATATATCATATATCTTCATTAATTGAATTATCACTTTAAAATTCTTCTCTCGTCCAAGTTTCATTTGCTCGCTTGAATTTAATTTGCATAGTAGAATTTAAAATCGAATTATCTGAATATCAGTTTTAGAACTGGACTCTGAAATAATTGCACCGGAGCTTTTGGGTTAAACAATAACAGCGAACTATATGACTTAATGCCAAATCAGTCGGGACTTCTCAATGCTGGTCTTATTCATTTCGAAACGCCCGTTCCGTAACACTTAAGTTCGGTTGAGTTAGATCAATTGAATCTGCCAAAATAAAGACATAGCAGGGATGTTTGCTTCACCCAGCACACGGGTAACTTTCCATCGGCCCCGAGAAAATCTCTCATCGCCCCAATGATCACCGGGCGGAAGAGCGGCTTGAATAAAAGGGCTTCCAAAAGTTGCTTGTAGAGCGGACTAACTCTTTCATGGACAGCTCTAGCGAAATAAGAAGATTTATTCGAGTTCACGTAACATCGTTCGAATACTTCTGGCCAATTCTGGAATAAATTTTCGCAGATTAAAAGTTTGGAAAGTTGAATTGAAAGGTGGACCTGTGACAGAAGTGGTGAGTTGAGAAGGCTCTACGTTCTTAAACCGATAGCTTGCGTTACTGGAGTTTTAGTTCAATTTTTTTTCACCGTAGCTACTTAGAGCAAAGTATTCCTCACTGTTAATTGGCAAAGAAATAATTGAGTTTAGGTCTTTATAACCTATAATCAAATAAGTTAGTTTCTGGCTCTCTGCATTTTTAAATTCAAGTATCAATATTAGCTGTTAATACACATCAATGAAGAAGCTGACTCTATGTAGATCAAAATTGATATGGCGCCAAGAAATGATTCAACGGGTGCGTTCTTTTTAAAGTCTTCGGTTAAAATTGCGCATTCACGATGTATGTAAAATTCTCCTTGAAGGGGATTTTTCGTGGACAAACTCACTTAAAATGAAGTGGTCAGCATTGTATTTTGGTATTGCCACTAAAACCTTATTACACAATTTTTTAGTGATATTCTTCTACAAAATCTTGACTAGTGTCGATTCACTAATATTTTACACCGTTCTCGACTGCACATATTTGTATGTTATTACGAGAAGTTGCAGGCTGCTCACCTGATAATCAGTGCACTTGAGACAGTGCCAGCAGCAGCTCTCGCCCTCCACCTCCTTCTTGGCCATTTATACAAGCAGTTGCCAGTTACTCACCTGATAATCAGTGCACTTGAGGCAGTGCCAGCAGCAGCTCTCGCCCTCCACCTCCTTCTTGGCCATTTATACAAGCAGTTGCCAGTTACTCACCTGATAATCAGTNTATTCTGCTCAATAAATATCAACGTTAAGAGTAGGGCGTGTAGGGCTTGTTGATGTACTTGCATTTGAAGTGGTCTTCCCAATATTCTGCTCAATAAATATCAACGTTAAGAGTAGGGCGTGTAGGGCTTGTTGATGTACTTGCATTTGAAGTGGTCTTCCCAATATTCTGCTCAATAAATATCAACGTTAAGAGTAGGGCGTGTAGGGCTTGTTGATGTACTTGCATTTGAAGTGGTCTTCCCAATATTCTGCTCAATAAATATCAACGTTAAGAGTAGGGCGTGTAGGGCTTGTTGATGTACTTGCATTTGAAGTGGTCTTCCCAATATTCTGCTCAATAAATATCAACGTTAAGAGTAGGGCGTGTAGGGCTTGTTGATGTACTTGCATTTGAAGTGGTCTTCCCAATATTCTGCTCAATAAATATCAACGTTAAGAGTAGGGCGTGTAGGGCTTGTTGATGTACTTGCATTTGAAGTGGTCTTCCCAATATTCTGCTCAATAAATATCAAGGTTAAGCATTACCAATGCAAGTTTTTATACTTATGTTATAAGGGAAAGCAAAATTCTGATCTGCTGAAAAACCGTCGTTTCAAATAATTCACTTGTGTTATTAGTAGAAAACGTCTTCACTCGAATGAGATTTGTAATTAAAAAATTAGCCCAGAAATATTTTTCAATAGAAGCAAGGTTCAAAGAGTAATAAATGTAATTTGCAGAGCATTTTATGAGTTAGCAAGATTTGTTTTCTTAAGAAAATAAGATGGCAGATTTGTAATAAACCGAGAGAAAACAAAAAATACAAACAAATAAATAACTAAAATTCTTCTTTACTCAATAGAATATTGCCATGAAAGCAGTATGAATAATCTAGGGACAACGCCTTTGTCATAGAGTAAAATAAGTTCTTCGTAAATTAAAATGACAGCCATTATTTGAGCCGCAGGAAATTACATGGAATGACTTGACGACTTTTGAGAGCAAAGTTTCGAAAGGAAAGTCGTGATTACAAGCTTAGCACAGGCGTCGTTTATATGTGACAAGAGCTGCTAAATTTCGCTGAACTTCTTTAGCACTTCAAAATGTGCGAGCAATTTTATCTATATTATATTTCATGTTTTATAAAACCAAATTATAGAATGAAAAATATAGCTGGAGCCACACATTGTTTTCGGGTGAGTTAGAAAAATGTCACATCGAAATGATTCAAAATAAATTGTTTCTATCCAGAAAATAAACCATTGGAAGAAGCTTTAACCAAACATTTGAGCGACAAAAATATGGAATAGTGAACTTTGAAGCTATTTAAAAAAAGGAAGAACTTGAAGATTTCACCATATTTCTTATGCATGAATTTTAATTAAGACGGGAACAACTATTGAATTGCTTCCAAATTTGAATAGTTTTTTTAATTTAAAACAAAACAAAACAAACATATGTTATAATATATTTTGCGTAAAACTTTAAACGCCGTTCCACTGCTGGAATGGTGGCGTGTAACCTTCACTCTGACTGAACTGGTGAGCATCAACTGATATGTTCTCAGTTGAGGAATCTTTCTGACGATGGATGGGAAAACTACGTAGGGGGACCAATGGAGTGGTCCCCCTACGAAAATCTGTCCTGCGAGTTTGCAAAAGTGCACCATTACCGCAGGAATTGTTTCATCATATTTTTAACCCGATTTACATTATTAAGTCAAGAACATTAATAGTTTAAAAAAAATGGGACTAGTGCTTTGAATTGTTGGTCTATAAAAAGCTTGCTGGCACCTACAAAATTATTCGCCGTTTCAATTTGGGGGGTAAATAATTAATAAATCTGATTTGCGAGTGGAAATTCTAACTTTAATTTTTACGGGCTTGTATAATTTCAAAGGCAATTTCATAAATTCATAAGAAGAAGCAAGTTGAATAAATAATTTTAAAACTTTATGCTTCCAGTGGCTAAAATAAAAGTTCAATTAACTCTGCGGTTTCTAAACCCGAACACTGAATATATTTCCAGAACAAACAGGAGAACACATGTAAGCTTAAACTGAAACACCTGTAGCTTGAAACAAAACAAGTTTCAAATATAAGATAGAACCAATAAACGGAGCAACTCACCATAAAACCAAGGATTCCTTGTGTTAGTTTCGACGGTAAGATTTGTGAAGTATTCTTTGAAGTTCCTGACTGCATTGGCTTGTGGCTGGACTGATAAGGTGCCTTCCACGACCGCCTCATTACCTGTGA